AGTACATAATCTTGTCTTACTAGAAATGAAAATACAACTGGCAAGTAACTGTATGTCTGATTGGGCAGTGCCTTCTCATCATAGCCAAGAGAGAAATCAAGAAAAAAGGAGAAGAAAATGAAAAGGATGGATCACTCTTTGTATGCATATGGAAAAAAAATAAGCATATTACGTATAGTTTAATTATGCTGTAAGATTTTAACTTTAAATGAATGGTGACTGGACTCTTTCATCTTTCCAGGTTCAATTATTAATCTACTTCATGCTGAAATATGCTATGGAGGTTTTACTTTCAGAATCCAGTGTTGTTACGACATATTACTTTAGCTGGTCAACGGGCACTGTGGCAATTTTTCTTGCATGTCTTGGCCTCACGGTTCTTCCAATAAATGTTGTAGTTGGGAGCTACATAAGTAATATGTTTGAAGACAGGTAATATCTTTTGCACCACAACATGCTTTGGTGCTTACTTTCTGGACACGAGGCCAGATTTTCTAAAATTTTCCTGGATATAAATTTTTGGTGCTCACATTGATGTATTATAATGAGAATGGAATTCCAAAACTACTATTATTATGTATTTATGTTGAATATTTGCTATGGGATTCTGATAGTTTCTTCGGCTTGCAGGCAAATTTTGTTGGTATCTGAAATTATGGTTTTTCTTGGTATACTTGGGAGCTTTCATATTGTAAGCCCATACACTGTGCCACAATATGTCTGCTCTGGGCTTATAATGTTTGTAGCTGCTGAAGTGTTAGAAGGTAAGACCTCTCCCGTCCTATTCTTTTTTCCTCATTAAGAGACATATGTGTTGTCGACGGAACCTATCAATATGACGAAGCAAAATAAGGTTACTAGCTCTGAGTGGCTAGTGAACTGAATTAGAGTGGTATCATAACATTCTAGATTCTCTCAATAATTCTAGGTTTCTTTTCCATTTCTGTCTATAATGAACTACTAGTTCAAAGATGATATTTTTTAAACTCTTCCGATAATCAACCTAGTCTTTGATTTCAGACTAGGATTAGTGGTTTACATCATCATAACTTGGATAAGTGGATCCGTTACTGGGTGACGTATGTCTTTATATTTACTTACTCCTTAAAAGAATGCTCTCCTAGAAAACTGATTCAGAGACCTTAAGAACTCTTTTGAAGTAGTTTTAAAACCTCATTTCTTATAATAGAAATAAGATTTTCAATCTAAGTGGATTGAGGCACAGATACTAATTGATGAAAAAAGACAAGTTGGACTTTTCACTACTGATTCCTTCCATTATATCTTCAATGATGAGCCTAACCCTGCTGAATGTATCTTTCTTAACCATTCTTGAATTGGATAAACCGAACTCTCTAGCATAAACTACGAATAATTCAATCGTGATGATGTCTGGTATTTTCTGTCATGTTTTACACTACTTGCATTCTTAATCTCTCTATTTATTTGGTTGACGTTATCAGGTGTCAATCTATCGCTCCTCTCTCGAGTAATGTCATCCAGACTTTCTCGTGGAACCTACAATGGGGGTCTCTTGTCAACAGAAGCTGGCACATTTGCTCGGGTGATTGCAGATGTAACCATAACCCTTGCTGGGTATTTGGGACAGAGTAAGCTCTTGAACGTCACACTCCTCCCTTCACTTTTGATTTGTCTAGCCTCCATTATCGCGACCTGTTACACGTACAATTCTCTTTACTGAGCTCCTTTTGGATTCTTAAAATGTAGTCGACCATTATAGCATTATCACCCCCTCAATTCTTTTCCACCTCCCTTTCTAGTTCATTAGCTGAGTTGTCCTTGTGTAGGTACTTTTTCCCCATGTGTAATATTGATGTAAATTTTCGGTTAATAACTAGTTCATTGATTTCTTTACTTTCAACTAGGTTCTTATTATTCAATATCTGTCTTGTTTGTCCTATGGGAAATTTCTTTCTATGCAACTAAAATATTGAGCTGTTGTTAATTCATGTGGGAATTTAATAGGAATTACATACTTTATAGAAGTAATTGTGTCACGAATTTATTAGCACCTGTATTTACGCCAAAATGCAAGACAATTGGCTTTTATACACACATTTATTACTTTAACTATGGGTAGACAGTGTATATTCTTACTTTAATTTTGTACCATTCAATTATTATGGTTAAATTGTTTGGTCCGATTATACATTGGATGTCGGTAAGTATTTAACACAGGCATGGTGTGACACCTTAGCTTGGATAAGAGTCCATACTGACAAAATATATGAGAGATGTTGGGTATATAAGTAAATAGAATATATGCCCTAGTGATGTGGTTTAAAGATATACTAGCCTAGGTCTAGAACAGACAATAACCACTAGCAAACTAAGCTCAAATCTCTCATTATTTTTGTCGATGTATGTTGTGGGTAAACATTTCTCCCTTCTTTTTGGGTTGTTTTATAAGGAACAACATTTTTTTTTATTTTTTCATATTCTAATACTTCAGACTTGAGTCATTCTTTTAGAAAAAAAAGTTTCACTATGATGGGAAGTAGCAGCTACGTGCCACCTCCACCTAGCTTACCTCATTTAATTAATTTCGACGGTCAATCTGCCAACTATTTGTGTCGTTAATAAATGTTGACAAAAATTTTAATTGTCCTTGTACAAACTGACAATACTAAGCTAAAAAGAAAAAAGAATCACCAATTTAGTATGACGATCATGGCCTTTCGAGAAGGTTCATGGAACTATTATCGACTTCTTACGTCGTTAGCTGGATTTAGACATAAAAATTGTGAAATTTGAAGTTATCCAACTTCTTTAGCATTGGCTCAATGAGTCCGTATTGGAAGGGGACAATTGTTCAACTGGTCTATATTTACCATACACAGTATTATCATTAATTAGATGTCTCGAATTTGAATTCTCAAAATTTTGAAATTTCTAGTAGGGAACGTTTTCCCTTTGCCATACACGACACTAATTTGGATTTACAATATGTATTGTTTAAACAAAAAACAAAAAAGCTGATCTACATTTTAGAGTTGACAACTTTGTAGAAGTGTATGAATAGAGTAATATAAGTTTATAGAAGCCAATTAAGATTGTATTAAATAATATTTGGTCCCCCAACCTTTATTTTTTGTGTGGTCAATTTAGATCTTTTGTTGCTCTACAATTCATGGTTGGAAGTTGAGTTGTACTAGTTAGACACCAATAAAACTTGACTACATATTCATAAATTTTGATGACTTATTTTCAATTGTCCTTTTTCAAATTGGGACCCTTGAAAAGAATTAGAGATGAAAAAAATTAGTATTTCACCGCCAATCTATATACTATTTATTTAGTATAGCATTTGAGATTAGAAAAGAGGTTGGTTGAAGGTTTTAGCGGTTCAAAACTCAGCGGAGACAAAAAACACTAGGTGATTCTTCTCATCTGTTTTAACTTTGATGGATAGAGTTACCTTATTGGTGGGTGTAATTAGTCGAGGTACGAGAAAACTGGCCGAACACCAAATGTCATTAAAGTTGGTTGAAACATAAAATATGAACAATAATTAATAAATGCATTGTGACCTCAAACTCAAAATAGAGAGAGATTGAGTTATGTGGTTGAAGATGAATTAGTCTACATGGAAATATTGGTGAGTTTAATTTCTCTCATTATAATCTTCAGCTACTCAAAACAGTTGTTACAATATCTCATTATTAAAACAATAAAACCTACCCCTTACCTATATACCCTACATAGATCACACTTTAAATTAGTTATGAAATTCATCGATAATAACAGCTTGTAATGAATGTGATTTTCTTATAATCCTCACCAATTTGTCATTTAATAAGATTCACGATGATTTTTTTTATAGTAAAAGTTGTTTGTTTACTTATTTCGTGGTTGATAAGAGAAATTTATAATCCTCGCTAACAACTAAAACTTATATACTACCTTCATATAGTAGATTAGTAAAATCAATGTACAAGTGTTGTAGAAATCTAATTACTATGGTCAAGCAAAAATATGTGCATGTATATTTGTTTATAAAAAATAATCATTGAGACTATAGTTCAAGTTAAAGATTCATAAATTGGACACACCATTAATATTAATGGTATTAAATAGACGGATTGAATTGAAATTAGGCATGTTAAAATGAACTGAGTTAATAAATGAACGTGTCATTGACACGCTCGAAAGTTACTTGATCTAAAATTGGTAAATATTTGGTCATAATTCAACCCACCTAGTACTTATGTGCCCGTTTGGATGGGCTTATAGCTTCTGTCTTATAAGCCAAAAATTGTAAGTTAGATATCTTTAACTTATAACTTTTGAGTTAAAAATAAGTGTTTATAAGCACCTTTTGAATCCCACTGAAACATTACAAAGGTGCTGACAAGTTACTTTGACTTAAAAACACCTAAAATAAGTTAATTTAAATAGATTCTAAGTTTTAAATCATTTGTTTAATTGAGTACTTAATAAAACCATTTTTTCTTATATTATGACTATATATAATATAATAAATAAAAGATATTATTTTAAAAATATTTAAACAAAGTTTCTTATATAGATCAATCTAAACTATATATCAACCGGTCATTAACCTGTCCAAAACCTAAATAGATTTGACGAGTCAAATTAGTTTAATTCCCCTCACATTATGTTAAATCTAAATTTTATAATATCTAAACTTTCTCAATAATTATTATAACTACAATGTCCTTCACACAAATGTGTGGAGTAATGATTATGTGAAAGAAAATAAAAGAGAAAAAGATGTTTCCTATTGAATTAAAATCTTACAACTACCTTCTCCCCCTCTCCCTTGCCTTATCTACTAGACTATTACCATAATAAATAAAATAGTACCTATAATATATAGTTTTTTTTTTCTTTTTCAAATTATACACATATCTTTTTGGACCTAACTTGTCACTTTCTTTGTTCCTTTAAATAAATTCTCCAAATCACTATTATATAGTTCTACTTCTTTCTCCTAATATTCAAAAATTCACAATTCCTGCATTTTCTTGTTCCTTAAAAATATACACTGAAAATTCTACTAAGGAACATTTTGTGTTTTCCAAATTTATTGCCGTCCAAATTGTTTGAATTTTACTATATAACATCCTTTTTTCTTTCTAGTTTTCCATCAATCTTATCATCATTAAAGATATTAAATTAATTAAACACAATGAAGTTTGATTTGATTATTACTGCTCTTCTTGGAATTTTCCTCTTTCATGGATTTTGTTCTTCTGAAAAAGGTAAACAAATTCTTACCCCTTATAGTAATTTCGCGATTTCGTAAAAATATAATGATTGATAAATTTCGTTACGTTAAAAATAGCAAAGGTGTGATGTAAGTGAACACTTGTTTTCTGTTTGGTTAGTAGGAATTTCTAGCGTGTTAACGGATTAATTCAAGTTAAATCGCAAAAATAAGAATTTATGCTTTTGTAGTATAAGTTAACTTTATGTATACTAGTAATGTAAAGAATTTTTATATTAGTAATGTAATTTAACCTATAATTTAAGTTTATATATATACATTATCGGTTAAAACTTAAAACTTTTCTTTTATATTGCTAATGTAGTTTAACTTGTAGTATTGTAGCAAGCTAATAACTTGTAATTATTGTAAAAGTAATTTAATTGTGTAAATATGTTTTATACCATTCCTTAATTTGTTATAACCGACATGTTTTATTTTTCAATGTGGTAATACTACACTGTCCGTTGAATAATTTTCGAAGTTAAATTAACATGATCAACTTAATATTTCAAAATTAAAGTTTTTTTCTATGGCATAAAAATTAAATTCATATATTTTTTTTATTTACACAAATTTAAACTCTTTTTGTATAAATTTGCAGCTCCAAATTACTCATTTATGCGCCAAGCTACTACAGCACCGGAGATATCACATTACGACTACATAATCATCGGCGGCGGCACCGCCGGCTGCCCATTAGCCGCCACGCTCTCTCAGAAGTACCACGTACTTCTACTAGAGCGCGGCGGTTCGCCTTACGGAAATCCTAATATCACATATTTATCGACATTCGGATCTGCACTTTCCGATCTCTCACCGAAATCGCCATCTCAGCGATTCATTTCCGAGGACGGTGTAATCAACGCGCGTGCACGCGTTTTGGGCGGCGGAAGTTGTTTAAACGCCGGATTTTACTCACGTGCCGGCCCGAAGTATGTGAGCAGTGTTGGATGGGACGGAAAGCTGGTGAACGAATCGTATGTTTGGGTGGAAAATAAAGTGGCGTTTCAGCCGCCGGTGAGACAGTGGCAATCCGCCGTGCGCGACGGTCTTGTGGAGTCAGGGGTGGTGCCGTACAATGGATTTACGTATGATCATATTAATGGAACTAAAATTGGGGGCACGATTTTCGATGCCGCCGGACGTCGGCACACGGCTGCCGATCTACTTGAGTATGCTAACCCTAGTGGAATCACTCTACTTTTGCATGCTACCGTTCACAAAATCATGTTCAAAACTAGAGGTACGTATCTTCTCATGCAAATAAAGAAAAAGAAATTAGAAATCCGTTTTATTTATGTGATACTGTTTGACTTGATACAAAATTATGATAGAAAAATGGATAAAGGATCGTGATCCCCAAAAAAACCCCTCAATTGGCTGTATACATTGTCCGTGACATTATGGAAGCTAGACTTTTGACACGTATCAAAAGTATACTTAAATATGTCATGACAATTCTATGACTATAAGAACATTTTATCAAGTGTAATATACTCTCTCCATCGCAATTTATATGACATACGTATCATTTAGTCAGATTAGCAATAATTTAACTTTAAAATGTATATTTTACGCTTAATGAGATGATTTGTAGTCATACAAATAACTATGACTTATTTTAGACTATATGTTAGTATTTTATCTTTCTTAAACTCTGTGTTTAAGTCACGACAGATGGTTACATTGTTTACGTGAGATTAACTAATGAAATTCATTTAATTTTTTCTAATTTATGATTAAGAAAGTATTAATTAACAACTTTGTGCAGGATTATCAAGACCAAAAGCTCATGGTGTAATATTTAGAGATGCATTAGGAAAAAAACACAAAGCATATTTAAGAAGAGGAGAAATGAATGAAGTAATAGTTTCATCTGGGGCACTTGGAAGCCCACAAATGTTAATGTTAAGTGGTGTAGGCCCATCAGAACATTTAAAGGCCCATAACATTACAGTTGTATTGGACCAGCCCAATGTTGGACAAAGGATGATGGATAACCCAATGAATGCAATATTTGTGCCATCACCTGTACCTGTTGAAGTTTCTCTTATACAAGTTGTGGGTATTACAAGATTTGGAAGTTATATTGAAGCTGCCTCCGGCGAGAATTTCTCCGGTTATCGTAGTAGTCGGAGTGATTATGGAATGTTCTCCCCGAAGGTAAATTTTTTCTCGTGATTTTAACTTATATACACTGACGATATACATATATTTTAGAGTATCAAGCTATCTAATATATACGGTTTATCATTCGTAATATATAGGTGTAGTGACCTGGATAATAAGATTGGTAACTTATCATAAAAAGTTAAGACATTATCGGTACATATAAGTTAAATCCTTTTCTAATTTGAAGTTGTAGTCTATAATATAGTATCAATAGAAATCTTTCTATATAATGGCAATAAAATTATTTAACTTTTTCTTAGAAACACCTTTGGAACCTTGGTCAAGCACAAATTATTGTTCTAATATTAGCAAAATTGCTTTGCAAATTGATTAGTCAAATACAGCTGTTAATCTTTGAAAATACTTTGTCAAAAAGAACTTCTAATTAAAATGTTTTTCAAAATAAGTAAAATTTTGGTCAAACAGACTATAATAAGATTATTAATAATGAAAAATTAAGACATGTTAAAATACATGGATTATTATTGGTATACATAATTTATACTACATACTACAAAATGTATGTATATTCTTGTGAGGCCCAAACTTTCTCTAACTTAATGTTAAATGGGCCTAAGTGAAACCCATTATAGTCCTTTATGTTTATTTTAGTACAATATTTAAAAAATAGCCATTTCTTTCAGATTGGACAGCTATCAACAGTGCCACCAAAGCAAAGAACACCAGAAGCCTTAGAAAAGGCTATAAATTCAATGAATGCACTAGATGCAGCAGCATTTAGAGGAGGATTCATATTAGAAAAAATAATGGGCCCAATATCCACTGGACATTTGGAGCTCCGAACCCGGAACCCGAATGACAACCCATCAATAACATTTAATTACTTCAAAGAGCCAGAAGATTTACAAAGATGTGTAAATGGACTCAAAGTTATAGAAAATATAATTGAGTCCAAATCTTTTTCACAATTCAGATATGACTCAATTTCATTGCCAGCATTACTTAATTTGACTGCAAGTGCCCCTGTCAATTTATTGCCTAAACATGACAATATTTCAGTCTCATTGGAACAATTTTGTAAAGATACTGTTATGACAATTTGGCATTATCATGGAGGCTGTCAAGTTGGTAATGTTGTTGATCAAGATTATAAGGTTATTGGTGTTGATAATTTGAGGGTTATTGATGGTTCAACTTTTAATTATTCTCCTGGTACTAATCCTCAAGCCACTGTCATGATGCTTGGAAGGTTAGTATTTACTAATTTATACTCCTTCTGTTCTAATTTATATGACTCTTTTTTCCGTTTTAGTCTGTTTAAAAGAGTGTGACATCTTTGAAAGGGAACCGTGGAGTTAATAGTAAAGTTATCTCCGTTGTGATTTATAGGTCACCGGTTCGAGCCACTTTTTTTAGTCAATTAGAAAGAGTATGACACATTTGAAAAGGAAACTTAGAGCAACAATAAAGTTGTTTCCACATGATCTGTAGGTCACTGGTTCGAGTCGTGGAATCAGTCATTGATGCTTGCATCAATGTTGATTCTGTATATTATACACCTTAACTGAGGTGTGGCTCTTCCGTGCACCAGACTGTCTTCTTCTTCTTTTTTCAGAAAAAGAATGATATGTTTTTTATATTTATTAACAAGTTAATTTTTAACATCTCATTTTATACTTATTGAGACGATTTATGACTATATAAATTTTATATCATAATTTGTTGGTCGGAAAAAAAATCTTTCTTTTAAATTTTTTGTGTTCAATCTAATACCACCAGATTAATAGAGACGGAGGAATAAAAAAATAATTAAACTATATACCAAAGTCCTATAATTTGTTGAAATTAATATGTGATGATTACTAAATTATTTATTTATTTTTTTGGAAAATGTGCAGGTATATGGGAGTAAGGATAGTGAATGAGAGACTTGCTAAAGAGGAGTCAAATCATTAATTAATTGATCATAAATTCGTTTCTTCTTCTTTTGTTACCTTTTGTTTATGAATGAGAGTGGATTAATTAAAAATATATAATACCACTATATATGATGTAAATTGACTTCATTCTCTGTAATAATAATCCCAATAATTTCAGTAATAATATGTTTTGAGTTTAATTATTGATCTGGAGAATATAGAATGAATTCTGAGCTATTATTTTCATTCTTTCAATTCAAATCTTTCATATCGAGTAATAATTTATTCTAAATCTTAAATTCGCCTCTACATGAATTTTCAATGAACATTTGGAATACCGTTTGAAAAGACATTTCTGACTAGCCAATTTCTGATGGACTCTATTGAAAGATCACATTTTTACTACTAAATAAACAAGAATTAATTATTCATGGACAATTTTCTGATTAAATTATAAAATTCGTCGCTAATCTCATTTAATGACATATTATCAAAAAACTATATAAATGGGAAATATATATTTGAGTGTGGAGAAAGTATATTACAAAGGATATACCTCAAAAGAGAAAAAGATTGTTTGCCACCTACTCCTAATTAAAGCATCTCTGCTCTGTTAAAGGAATGCTATCCTTCTTTATATATTCCACAAATAATTTAAGTTATATATATCATTAGAATATATTTTTATATATATTATTAAATGTGAAATTTGTGATCTTGAAAAATAAAATAAATTAATACCTCTTACAACCGGTCAATTAATAAGGTGACCAGATGATATAAAAATAATGTTTTGTATAATTATATTTGTTCAGAGAGAAATATTTTAAATATTGAAGTATATGATCATCTCATTTAAAACTTTAAAGCGTGAGTATACATTTTCTATTACTATTTAATTATATTATATTGTCAACATTAATAGTATAAGATCATGGTACCTGGAATCTAAATTAACATTGGAGATTTATAAAGAGAAAGATCATGATCATCTCTAGATAATTTCCATGGCATGGACTCAAAAGTAGGAGGCATCATAAGAAAATATCCTTCATTATTGTGGTATAATTCAATGGCATATCCAATTTCATTAGTGCAGCCACTAAGTGTTGTATATCCCTATAAATTTGTCTCATCATTTCCATGAGGTGGTTCAAATAAAACATTCAAATTCGATCGGAAATAATCTCTGTCTGACTATCTCTATGAGGTAGAAGTATAATATGTGTACATTTATCATTTATAAGATTGTACTAAATATGTTATTGTTGGTATACTTATTAAGTGAAGCAGTTGTAGGGCAGTTCTCCGTTTGGCAGATATATGATTATAAATATAATCTGCCAAAGGAGAGTTGCCCTATGATTGCTTCTGCTTAATTATGTTTATATGATGAGAAGAAGAAGAATTATGAAAATGCATTCCGCATAAAGGGTGGCTCAATCGACGATCTTTATGTTGGGTGATTTATTTATTTATTTATTGTTGGTATGGTTTATCGTTTGATTAATTAATTAGCCTAAATAGGATCTTTTCATGAGTTTACTTCGATTCATATATATCATTTGGTAATTTATATACATGAGAATCATGTAAATACGTTTTACTCTATTACTTTATCATTTCAAATTGTGTAGCTTAATCTGAAGTACGAGATTAAAATAATTAATTAGAAACGAACATTAAAAATATAAGTAATTAGTTCCTTAGTGAGATTTATGTATTTTGACAATATATACATATGTGGTATATATACTAATAAATGTTGAGATGGCCGAGTTGGTCTAAGGCGCCAGATTAAGGTTCTGGTCCGAAAGGGCGTGGGTTCAAATCCCACTCTCAACATATTTATTTTTTGATTTTTCGCTTATAATTTTTTTTAAAATTTTAACATTTACCATATATTTTACCTCTCAAATTATTCTCATTTACATATTTCTGTTTGAATAATTTACCAATCAATTTAATTACTAGATTTTTCATTAGCACTGTCTACTTCAACCTCACTACACACCAAATAGGATTTAACTACTTTTTGACCATATGCATGCTAGACTTGAAAGAGATTGATAGCTTTACATGACCCTTATTGATCTGTTATGCAATATTTGCCTTGTACAACCTGCTAGTTGACTTAGTCTTCTCAAATTTATGGTATACTAAAACTAGCAATTTCCTTCTTCACAAGGTACCCAAAGATAAAACTAAAATTGTGTAAAGGTTTCGGTGCAGAAAATATCTCGCGTATACATATAGTTTGAAGAAAGATCATACATCAGGGGTGAAATGTCATATAGGCAACACAAGCATCACTAGTTGATTCTGCGATTTGATTATATAACTTTATTGTTGGTCAAAAAACCCGATTATAAATTTCTTGTTTAGTGTTATATTTTTTAAAATACTAGTTGGATCATACAACTCACACTTAGCTGTGTGTACAAAATATTTCTTGTATTGATCAAGTCTATAGAGTGTTAACTCTTGCACATAGGAAACTTGGCATTATATTATATAGTATCAACCGCCCAAACGGCAAGAATGAAAATACAGCTATATGTTTATCTAAATTTTATCACTTTTTAATTTTAATAATATTATTGGATAGTTTTTTCAACCCTAATTAATTTGAATTGAGGCATAGTCGATTGCCACTTACATATTTTGTATAGCATGTTAATTCAGTACCATAAACGATTTAAAACAAATTCTGTATATTAAACTTAATCTTCGTTTAAACAATGTATTCGATTAAATTTAAATAAATAAACGTATATACATAACTAGATCACATTTATTTTGAACCACTATCTCAAGAAACTTCTATAAAACTAACTTGACCAAAAAAATAATGATATTTTCTTAGAAAATGTAATAACTAACAATATTGGTGGGGATATAAATGTACTATGGTGATTGAAAGCAACTAGACAACATAGAATTTTGGAATGAAAAGTGACCACGTTAAACAAGTCCAAGAATTTTATTTTTTTTAGAAAAAAACATTCTAGTGAAATTTCTATGGAAAATAGATTGATAGTGCTGGCCACTATAAAAAGCATAAATCCTTGTTTTTTTGCTCTTTTTGCATATGCTGATCGACATTTCCAGCTAAATTTTCCAAGCTATTTCCACACCGAGGGCGGACCTAGAGTACACATTACGGATTCATTCAATACATATACGTAGATATATATATATATCGAGAAATTCATTAAATAAGTATAAATAATTGCGTCAAACCCATAAATCAAATGAATTTTGGTAGAATCTTATGTTCAGATGTCATAAACTAAAAATTCTGGCTCTGCCTCTGTTGGTCACACATTTTGTTGGATGCTAATATAATCTTATAAGATTATTTTGATGGAAATTTTGAGGAATTTAAGCTGTCAAGATTAGTAATAATCGGCAAGACTAAAGACCCTTTCAAGTGTTTAATCAGAAAAGTAATGATTTTATGTAGTGACTATTCACAGATTGACCAAGTCTAATAATTAAATTTCAATATAGAACTAAATGACCTATGAGAAACACATGTTAGGTCATTGTAAGTTGAGATAGAAATAAGGAGACTGACTTTTCATCCCTTATCATTGTGGAACTTCTTAACACTCCCCGCACGACCAGACATCAACTGGAGTGTGAACACTCATAATGGGGTCCAACATCGGTGAACAACAAATTGGGATGAACCTAGCCCGGATACCATATTTAACAACTTAAGACGCCTAAGTTGGGAAGGACAGATCAATTTTTTTCCCTCTAGACTTGTCTAAATAATAACACAATTTAGTTTACACATAACTTCCTGCAGGCTGCAACAAACCAAAAAGGCCAAGAAAAAGACCAAAAGAATCCTAAATCAAGAATGCAATCACCTTGTTTCAACTGTATTTGCTGCCAGAATTCCCATGGAGATAAAAACCCCACCTCTAAAATCAGCATAATCATCACTTGTCATCGCGAATTCATCGATGCAGTAGCTTCATCCATCCAGCCAAATTCCCAATTCACTAACCATGAGTGTTTGCCTTCTTGTGCAGAACTATTTGCCAACTTACAAGAAGCGTATCCACATTACAGTCAGACTAATCTTGCTGATGAAATTCGAGCTAACGAATACTATCACCTCACTCTTTCGAAACATGTTTGTTTTGATTACATTGGAAATGGCCTTTTTTCTTACTACCAACAACAGAACATGATCAAATCTCATCCAATTCACGATTCAATCGCCTCTTCATCATCAGCTCCACCTCCTCCTCCTCCTCCTCCTACTCACAACGAACCTTTCTTTAACATTTCGTATAAGTCAGTGAGTTTAACTACTCAATTGCTCTACGGAGGGCAAGAATCCGATATAGAACGTAAAATGAGGAAAAGGATTATGAAGTACATGAATATCTCTAACCATGACTACTCAATGGTCTTTACAGCTAACCAATCTTCTGCATTTAAGCTCTTGGCTGACTCTTATCCCTTTGAGTCTAATCCTAACCTCCTTACAGCTTACGATCATGAAAATGAAGCAGTGGAAGGGATGATCGATAACGCTAAGAAAAAAGGGGCTAAAGTGGTATCAGCAGAGTTCTCATGGCCTAATTTGAGAATCAATTCAAGAAAACTGCGAAAAACGCTTAGTGTCAAGAAGAAACAGGGGTTATTTGTTTTCCCTCTTCAGTCTAAAGTAACGGGAACAAGATATTCGTATCAATGGATGAATATTGCACAAGAAAACGGATGGCATGTCGTGTTTGATGCATCTGCTTTAGGTCCCAAAGACATGGAAACATTAGGCTTGTCGATTTTTCAGCCTGATTTTCTCATTTGCAATTTCTACAAAGTGTTTGGTGAAAATCCTTCTGGTTTTTGTTGTTTGTTCGTGAAAAACTCAACCATATCACAGTTGAACAAATCATTCACTAGCTTGGGAATTATTCGTCTTGTTCCAGTCGACGCGAAATCATTTGAACACAAAAACGACTCCTCTTCTTCAATTTCATCAGAATACAATCAAGAAAACTCTGTTTCAGAATTCCAAGAAATCGAACAAGTGTCTGATCAAGAACCAAAGAAAATAACCACATTGTTCGAAATACTGAATTGGGGTAACAAATCCAAACAGAAGACTCTTTCAACGACAACTACGAGCTCAAATGAACTGGAATGCAGAGGATTAGA